GAGTTTATTGACCATAAAGAAAGAAATTTGGACACAAATGAATGTTTATTTTCTGTAAATGAACAGCAAAAGGTGTAGTATTATTGTTAAAAAGATGCCAAAAAGTTGTCAACAACAGGCAGCAATACAACAACCTTAACTGTAAACAGCGTCAGCAAAATGTGCTCATGTCATCGTTTCTTGCAGGTTTCAAATCACATTGAAAATGATTGTTCTTTTACCAAAATCCCCTGTCCATATGCGTGGATGGGCTGCCGCTGCCAGGTAAAATGTTTAGGCTAAGTTAAACACAGCCACATTATGACAAAGTTATCCCTGCAGGTTTGTACATTTCCCAAACGCCAAAGCAAGCTCTTAAGAGGATTGGTTTTCAGTTGTAACACTGACAAGAGACCAAGTTCAAGTAATGACAGGTGAACGTTTTTTACCCTGGAAGTTCAACGTAATGCAATCGGCGACAGCGCGTTTGTCAGGGCACTAGAAATTGCACTTGTTGATTGCTGTGTTCATTGAGTGGTCTCCTCTATAAGGGGATTTGTGGTACCCTAGAATATTGCCACTGAGTAGCTAGGGACCTCCTATAGTTCCGTCAGAAGATCAAGGTACATACCTTTGATCTAAATCAGAAAGTCTATTGGACGTTAAAAAGAAGAAAAAACGAGGATGACTTAAAAAGAAAGAAAAACGTTGCAATTATAATAGGTATGAATTAGTAGCTTTGTTCTTGTGAAAGAAATAGTTAAAATTATAGCATTTTATTTCCAGGTGCAGAGAGATCAACTTGAATCACATATTAACCATGCAACTCAAGATCACCTCGATTGAGCGTGCGGTGAGTTACGGGAGACTCAGGAAAAATTAAAAGAGAAGATAATACATCTCGACAGACTTGAAGAGAGGGTAAATATTTTAAACGAGCAACTTGAAGATAAATTAAATGATATTCAACACCAGCATCGATAAAAGTAGATTCCTTGCAACAGCAACACCAGCGGAGAGTTGGTATCCTTTAAGAGCAGCTTGAACAAAAAGTTAAAACGTGTGAAACAAAACTGGAGCAGAAAATAATTATGGAGCGCAAAGTATTTTTGGTTTGTTCGGTGTTGGGACTGGTGTTTTTGACGTTATACCTGACGAAACTTGAAGAGAGAGTCCAGAAAAATTTAGAAGAAAAAGTAAGTGTTATTCAGAGCCTGCATGAAAGGAATGTGGGAATGGTAAAGAAGGAATTTAATTACAAATTTGATTCGTTAAACACTGACCTTAGCAATAAACTATTGATATTAGAGGTGGATAGGGAGGAGTCCTGCAGTTTTATATGGAAGATAACAAGCTTTAAAAACAAGCTGAGACAAGGAAAAAACAATGAAAGGAAGTGCATTAAAAGTGTTCCGTTTTACGCGTATGGCTACAAATTGATGCTAAAATTGTATCCAAATGGCTATGGAATTGGAGTGAACTCTCATCTCTCCATTGTTAATGAACACTCATCTCTCTCATTTGTTAATGTAAGGAAAGGTGAATATGACGGCATGTTACCACGGGTGTTCTCAAAGCAAGTAACATTTACATTGATCGATCAACAAGATAATCGAAATCGTCGACGGCTGAATGTTGCTAAGGGATTTACTGCAGACTTTGAAAAGCCTACAGAAAATAGGACCAGTTCGGAGTGGGGATTAATAAAATTTGTATCACATGATGACTTCTCGGAAAGACGTTTTGTTGTTAACGACACCTTATTCATTAAAGTTCAAGTAGATTCGCCAAGAGTTACGTGATGGGTTTATTTTTAACCGTTTACGCCTTAAACGCTACCAATGGTATGGCTTGTTAATGTTCTTGGAGAAGGATGTTCCTCGTGACCGTATTTTATCAGGCATGCTTTTTAAACTTTGGAATTTTCTTGTTCTTATTTTTAAAATTTAACTTCATGTAGTTCAGGTTATTTCATTTTTTGGATTCCTTTAGAGCCAGTTAGCTTTGTTTCCCCTCGATTCGAACTCATCTTAGTTCTCTAAAACTATTAAACTGCAACATGCTTCTCGCCAACGGTGTATGTTCAAAATTTAACTGAAAGGCGAGGAAATAGACCAATTTCGATATATTAAAATTCAGCCTAAAACAATAGACCTCAGTGCGAGGCTCTGGGGAATAACTACAGAGTTTGTGCCTCGTGCTGAGGTCTTTTGTGCTATGCTGAATTTTAATATATCGAAATTGGTCTATTTACTTTGCAAGGGCGGAAGATTTACTGGTCTTTTGCTCAAATTCATTAGCGGAAAATATGTAAATAACAATCAGGGAACAGAAGTTGAATCTTTACGAATTTGTAGTTAATAGATTTTGCAATCTGTCGGATCCTCTACGTTGTAATGTGAACAAAACTTGAATGAGGTATATATTGTTTTGGTCATAGTCTTTTAGTCTTTAGTTAATTAGAGTCGTGTAAAAATTTACAGAATTATTAATTTTTAACCTTTTCAGATACTTTTGTAGGGCAGTGTGTATTATTCTGTCGAAACATTTCACGGCACCAATTTAGATGAACTTTTCATAATAGTTTGTGAAGTTTGATGATGACGGTGAAGTAAATAGGAGGTTTAAACAGTAGGTGAAATATAACCTTAGATAGATATACATGTATTATTAAAAGCAATGTACAAACCAAAATTGAGCATGAAATAAAATGGTAGATGTTGATAATGGTTGTTATATTTTAATTTACCGATGAATCAGCTAATTAACGTACAATTTCGAGGGACTGTAACTAGGATAAAACATAGTAGAATTTTAAAAACGTTCCCTGGCTAAAACTATCACAAAAACGCAAGCTTTCACAGTTGCGTAAGCTGCAGTTCAGGCAGGTGAAAGCTAGTGTTATAATATGTTTAGCCTGAAAACTTATTTTCCCACGTTTAGGCTCAGTGCATTCAGCGTTCCTAGTGCTGACGTGGAATATGAAACATAATACCATCAGCTTCCGTCTTATTTATATGATCTCTTTTGGTTTCCTCTATACCTTCAAGGCATGCTATATTTGATCGAATGCTATCTTTTCGACAATTTGGCGCGGGTCTGGTTATATTATACGGGGATCTTTGCAGACCTTTAACCAAGTGGTTAAGAAGTATAAAAATAACATAAACCCCCATTGTGAAGCACTCACAACGGTTATCAAGGCCATTCCAAGGCCATTTCTTCTTTTCCTTTCTTACCCCAGTCGGGAACGGGGTTGTAGAGCTATTAAGCATATTGGCCGGTAATAAATATATAAAATAGGTGTATGGCAAAACTTAAGAGACAAGATTGGGCGAAATTGTAGAATATTAGGCCCTTAACACGATCCGGTCTCGTGACACAAAATAAATCATACTGTGCCATAAGGGACATGCAAATTAAGGTTACTTCCCACCTTCAAGGGCACAAAAAAATCGTTTTCTTTTATTTCACAAAATTTAAGTCAAAAAAAGAATATAAATCTCAAAAAGGGGCCGCGTTATTTAGAAAAAAAAAAAAAACAAAACAAAACGTCTTAGCTATTCAAGCTTTGTTTTTGTAAAACCATATCTTCTTATACAAGCGAAATAGACGCAAAACTCTCTGGAATAGTTTTGCTTTTATTGTTATCACAAAACATTTCAGAACAGTTCCTAGCATGGATTGAATAGAATTATTGCTGTAAGCATAATGCACGTGAAAGTCTGAATGCATATATCTTCTTATATCGGTGACAGTAAACACAAAACTGTCTGGAATTGTTTTGCCTATATTGCAAATGTTATTGTTGTATCATAGAAAATTTCAGAACAGTTGCTAGTATGGAGTGAATAGAGCTATGGCTGCATGTAAGCATAATGCATGTAAGAGTCTGAATTCACACGAGAGTTTGAATATGGTTTCAGACGAGGAGTTTTATTTTTAGTAATAGTGAATAAATGACTCAATAAATAGATCAAACATTATCTGATGTTGTTCTCCACTCTTTCAATGTCTCTTCTCTTAAACTCTCCCTGCTGTGTGTATAAGCAAGAAAGCATGAAGGGTAAGAGAGTTAGTCCCCCAAATGACACTAATTCCCAAAGACCTCTCAAGTTATTTTCAGACATGGTACCCAGTTCTTGCGCAGATGTTACCCCGTGCGTTGCGTGGATGTTTTCGTGGAGGACCAAAATGCATGTAAAGCCGCTTGGGCTGTCCACGTGATGGAAAAATTTGTATCACGTGATTAGCTATTTCTAGATACTTCTTGGATTTCTGAAAAAACGAGTAATCTGATAGAATTGGGGAGGGATAATCTTGGGAATAAGAGCTATACTGACGACTAAATCTCTTACTCTTAGGCATCTATAGATTGCACTCGGCAGGTGTCGAGCAAATTTTAAAGTTTTTAGTAACATTTGTACTGCATATTGAGCACAACTTGAGCCACATTTGGGCAACTATCGTGAATTTGTTTGAGCCAGAAGTGAATTTCCACATCTTGAGGGGACATCCAGTACAGCCTCAGCTCATCTGAAAAAGCCTTTTGAAAAATGAAAGGCGCTTCGCTTTGTTTTTGACTCCGTGGACCGTGCACCCGCTAACAGGACAGCAGCCATTCGCCCACAAACGTTGGCCGATCAATTTCCAGTGGTTGCTCCCTAATGCTGTGTTTAAAATTGAACAGTTTACCGAGGTATCAGAGTTTACTTACCTAGGTAAACATCTTCCGTATGTAAACGCCAACTGATACTTTGGTAAATGCCGCAAAAGACAGAAGAAATGTAACCGAGGTAAAAGTTGTAATTACCCTGTGATCAGGCATGGTTACAGTTGGTAACCAAGGTCAAGATGACAGATATATCCGCTTGTGGTGGCGTAATATTTCATTTCCCGCGGTGAGCAGATTGTGCGACAAACGTTATTTTTCCAGTTTTGACAATCTTGGCAGATAACATGGAAAATTTGGATCGATCTTCTTACGGCGAACAATCCGTCGCGTAAAAGAAAGCATTGCATTTTTCATTCTCAGTATTATTTACAACTTTCTCTAGACAAACTTCGATCCTTATTGTGTAATTATTGTCGATATATTTTGCCACCAGGGAAGATACTGCATACACAACGTACCCACGTTTCTACGCATATAACAATGCTTACTCTGGGTATGATCAAGCAACTGAATTTTCGCCGCAATATTATGGAATGCGGTCCTCGCCTATGAAAATGATGGCACCTCACTTTGCTCCTGTTCCACTGTGGTGGGATCCTCGTGCAAGTTCGATTTCATGACGTTGTTAATGCAGCGCGCGCAAATGTTGACAGATCAACTTAAGTTATTTGAGCCGGTATAAACACTGGACGAATGTACCAAGGTTAAGTAGCTTGACCTTAGTAAATGTTTACCTTGGTAAAAGCTCAAATGTAAACACAGCATAAGATACAAGAATCATTGTAGTATTTACTTCCTTTTGGATATCGGGTTAAACAAGTTGTGCTATGTCAAATATAGCAAGTTGTTTAAAACTTTTATGTGAATAAAGTGGCGTATGTTGGACTGATGATAAGTAACTTCTTGAACTTTTGAAACAACTTTTGCATTGTGGGCAGCTGTTGAAGAACTTTTTTCGACATTTTCAAGCACAATCTATATATGCTTACTTACTCTACATCCTTTACTGGAAAAAAAAGAAAGGATAAACTCTGTTATAGAGTTTTTTTTTAAACTGTTTCGACTTTTCACATAAAATTAACTTTCATATTTGAGCTTAGTTACATCAGTTGCTGGGTTTCATTCAGCTCTCCCCCAGCGCTGTTTGAGTTCGATTAATCCTTATCTGGTTTTCATCGGGCAGGAACATAACAGTCGCGTCATTCGCTGAGGATGAATGGTATCTTCACTAGTCAAATAGAGCAGTTTTCAATTGAGGGTCGTAAAAAAAAAATCAATGAAAATAATCTCTCTGACTAATGACAAAATACAAAGAAAATCCAATCAACCTGTCAAACTCACAGGAGATAAATGTCGCTGACCCAAATTGCAAGAAAACGATGTCATTCGAGTCACGGGTTATTTTACTTCGGATTGGATGACAAAGAGGTGAGAGTTTTTTCTCAAGTGAAAACCGCTCTACAATCTTCACCTACCAACTAAACCAATTAGTTTCCTCTCGGGCGGAATTGGATGAATCAGCGATTCCCGTTAAACGTTAACAGCTAATGAAGCATAACCAAATGCAAGCCGAAGTCAAAGCTATTCCAAGTGCGCGGCCGTTACGTTATGAAACCTCAGAATCGTTCCCCGATGAGAGTTAATAGTGAATGACGACAATGGAAACTCGATACGTAATCGGAGCGTAGTGATTACTAAGCGGCAGACAAGATAATATTTGAAATGTGAACTGCCTTCGCCTCTATTGAAAACGACTCAAAAAGGCACAGGAACACAAGTACATAACAGTACATTTATCTTAAATGATTATGTTACTGCTGATACAGTGCTCGGATCCCTTGTGGTTTAACTGGAAAGACGAAGACGAAGGCAATGAGAACTTTGATGATGAAAAAGTAATTTTGTTACAGGGGTAGTGGCCTCATGAATTTGATGGCCTTCATAAATACCGCGTTGCCGGATTCTGAACAAGAAGTCTGGGTGATCACGAGTGCTGATCGGAGTAACATTGTCGTTTCGTGGACAAGAAAGATACCATCCACTATCTAAATAGTCTCGCTACTCTTACTCTCTCTAAATAGGAACAAGTAAACAATTGGGAAGCATACCACGGGTAGCAGGGGTGGC